TGAAGATACGTTTCCTGATGATGTCTCTCCACGTTCCTCAATGTTCTCACAGGAGATGAGTGCAGGCTGAGGGTTCCTCTTCTCAGAGCACTTCTCACCCACCTCCACCTCAGAGAGGTGTCTTCCTCTCTGGAAATTTAGGAAGCAAGTCCGTATACATGATTTGAGGCTACTGAAGCGCCTGATGGTGCTGCAGCAGGGTTCCAGGATAGGAACAACAATTTCAAGTCCACATATCTTTGCCCCTGCTTTCTGGTCTCTGCAGCAAGACATGAAGGCATGGCCTTTGAGGTGCAGTACCTGCCAGGTATCCCTGAGCAGGAGAGGAACTTCATCCAGAGGGCTCTAAGCCTGGAGATCTGGGCCAGCATTTTCCAAAACAACCTTAGGTGAGGGCAGTTCAAGTTCTCAGCTGGGTTGTAGGCACCAGATCCCTTCTGAACTCCCAGATGAGATGCTTCAGCACAGCTCCCTCTCCAACGCTGAAGGCTGATCCGTGTAGGTATCTGAGAGCATCCTTCAGAGGCAGAGCCTCTCTCAGGCTGGCTTTGTTGTAAAGCTGTTTTGAGAGCACACCAGCCTCAGGCCAACAGGTCCACGTTTGTTCTTTTGCCACAACTCCTGTCCTGGAGGTGCTGCGAGCTGTGCTGAAGCTCAGGCTTTATGATACACCAGGAGAGACCTTCAGAGGTCCATCCTGGATTTCAGACTCTATGCTGGCACAGCAGAGAATGAAGATGGCATCTAATAAATTTTAATGGTTAAAACCAGAGGGAAGCACTCCTCTGCCGGGTGGGCAGCGGGAGCCAGGGCACGCAGTCAGAGGTGAAGTAGGATCGCAGGGCACCGCATCAGCTCTGTCCCTGCCTGTCACCACCTTTCGGGCAGTGGGAGCTGATCGGCGTCGTGACGTTTGGGGGTGTTTATCAGCCTTCAGCGGCAGAGCAGAGGGCCGGGTAGGACAGGCAGCGTGCCCAGCTGCTGTGCTTGCTGACAAATTTCGGGAACGATCACGGCCACGCTGCCTCTGTCAAAACAAACACAAGATGAGGTAAGGGGGAGATAGAGGCGTCGATGCCACATCCAGTACAACAAGGCAGGAGATGCGTTTCCAACAGGGTTGTTCCCTGGCTCAGGTAGACACAAGTCGGGCAACAGCAACCAGGTTCCTCGACCACACTGGGCACAGCTTCAGGCTGGGGATATGGCTGAAGCGCTGCTTGTTCCACCCGCACTACAGAGTCCGAGCTGGGACATTTTATTTATAAATTAGAAAAAGTTTTCCAAGGATTTTTTTTTTCTCCCCATAAAATCATTATTTTAACCCCTCTGATATTTTTTTTAAAGAAAGAGCAAGGAGATGAGATCTGAGGATCACTGTTCGGTCTGTCTGGAAGCTCTGAACTGCAGGTGAACTTCTTGCCCTGTTTTGAAATACCACAAGGCAGCCGGTGTCCTGTGCTGACCTAAGCAAACTCTTCTCTCTCAGATGCCTGTAAATAGATGTTAGCAATAAGAATAGGGAGTTTTTATATATCACCTGTCTCGAATGATAATTCTCAAGGCTTTAGCAAAGAAAAATATGAAGCTAAATTAATTTCTGTCTCCTGCTCTCAGAAGCCAAAGCCTGTGTCTCAAGGGGCTTTCAATACAGTCAGCTGTGATAGCTTTTGGTTGCTCTGTGGCCCGTGTTGCAACACAGACAGTCCCAAGGATTTCCTCCATCCTCCACGTTCCCTTTCCTAATCTGCATGTCATCATAGAATCATAGAATGGTTAGAGTTGGAAGGGACCTCAAAGATCATCTAGTTCCAACTCCCCTGCCATGGGCAGGGAAACCCTCCACTACACCAGGTTGCCCAAAGCCTCATCCAGTGTTTCTCAGAGATCAGACTTATGGCCGTTTTCCACAACATCTCCACAGAGAAAGCCTTTGTCCAGCTGAAGACAGGCTCAGAGATCCATCCCCTTTTTGTCCCTCCTGCTCCTCCACTTTGCACAAAGACGCTGGGGAAAGAGCTGAGGATCTCATCCTGATCCTCAATCCCAGCACATCTCAGATCCTCCCTAATGGTTCTCAGGGCAGCTAAAAAAGCAGAATTTCTAGGGCAGAAAAGAAAAACACTCTCCTTTTTTAAAAATGTTGAACTCTTCTTTTTCTTTTTGTTGTCTCTTGTGAAAAGCAAAACCCTGAGGTGTCTTATTGCTCCCCTTTTGCAGATCTGCTGTGATCGGGCATGCAGGGCTTTCTCCCCCAGACTCACAAAAACTGCTGCTGTGGTTCAGCTGGACCCAGCTAAGGGTGGTGGGAATGAAGGAAAGGAAGAGAGTGGACTCCAGCTGGGGCAAAATAACTGCTATTTATGCAGCACCCATTGAAGTCTGATCTTCACGGTTCACATGATCAGCAGGTCCCTTTACACACGTGCAGAGCAGCCACGCAATGGTCCAAATAGAGGTGAACAGAGCACCAAATCCCATACCAAGCGATGTCTGCCAGGCTCACGTCTGCAGGCGTTAGAGGGGAAAGAGGCCTCTGGGAGGTCTGGGACTTCACTGGCTCGATCTGATCCTCAACAAGGACTAATTGCCAGGAGAGAAAGCCAGAAATATTCTCCCCATTGTGTCTAAGAACAGAACATTCCCAGGGGAGCAATTTTAAATCTTTTTTTTTTTTCTCAACGCTGACTTATCTAGATCATGTCTGTCAAGATTCTGAAGTTCAGCAGCCTTGCTAGTAAGGACCTTCCATCCTTGGAAGTGTTCAAGGTCGGTTTGGATGAGGCTTTGAGCAACCTGGTTTTGTGGAAGGTGTCCTTGCCCATGGCAGGGGGGTTGGACTAGATGATCTTTAAAGGTCCCTTCCAACCCAAATCATTCCCTGATTCTATGACCTCCTAAACACCCAAGCTATCAGGAGAGATCTGAATTTAAAACTTTAAGGAAGGGAATCTAATGGTTTTGCTTGACTGAGCAGTCAAGCAATTTACCTTGCAGATGTCTCCTGGAGTGGATGCCACCTGCCCACTTGGCAGGTCAGAGAAGCTGCCCCACATGGCAGATGTTGGTGCTGAAGGGATTGTGGTCAAATTCTCTGCTAATGCAAGTGGGAAAGTTCCTTCAAAATCTACAGAACTGGCCCAGCCAAGACTGACTTAAAAGCCCCCTGAGACGATGGCTCTGGATAAGGGTGCAAGTCCTGCTGGTGAATGGGTGGCAGTGTCTTGGTCTCTCAGACCGGTCGCTTCCATTTCCCACAACAAAAGACTTACAGGGAGTCATTCCCATGAGAATCCGTAGCGTGTGTGTTGCATTTCTCATGGAGGATGGCTGAATGTTTGGCCGAGGAGAGAGCGTGAGGACAAAGGAGCTGATACATAAATGGCACATTTATGGAAACGTCACATCCACACTCTGCATCTGTAGTGGAGCAGTCAACCCCTCCTCTGACAAGTAGGCAAGGCAGGTCGGTGTTTCCATAACCCTGCTCATCCTTTACGAAGTGAGTGGTACCTCCAGACCAGTTAACTGGATTCTGAGACCTTATGAGCTGAGTTTGCACAAATGTAGCTTTGGCCAACTGCAGACCCAGCGTGGGTGGGTATGGAAAACGAGCTCGTTACTGCTAGTGGCTTCCACAGAAGCACAGGTTAAAAGAGGGGCTGCTGCCTGAGCGTGGGTGTCTAGCATCGTTTACGGATCGCTAGGATAGCTGAGATATTAATGAAAGCTGGCAGATGCGGTACAGAGTTTGTGGCCTAACAGAGGGCCGGGCAGGCTACCCCAGGTCCCCGTGGTGGCACCAGGGGTCCGCGTTTAGGCAATGGGCTCCTGTCCCTCCCATCTGCTGCTGAGCGTGCAGGCGGTGGGATTGCTATGCACTTTGTACAGCTGTCACTCAGAGATGATGAGGTGATGTGGAAATGCTGCACACAGCAGATCAGTGCAGGAGCTGAAATACTCATGGCTGCCTGTATGAAAGCTGTCAGTTTTATTTCCACTGGTGGAGCTGAGCTGAGATTATGTTGGGGCCAGAACTCAAAGCATCCCTGGAATATCTTCCAAAGTAGGAGTAAATCATTCAGGACCCTGTATCTTGCCACCGATATGAGTCATTCCTGAAAGTGCTGGGTACTCCCAAATTGGATACCTTTACTCTTTTGGGACTTTTGGGTTAGGAATCTGCCAAGGGCAGACATTGGGATCAGAGGGCATGGCAGTGGCAGAGAAGGTCATAGCTCCTCTGAAGCCTGTTCTTCATCAATCTCTGCTTCTACGAACATATCACTGATCTCTGATAGGTTCCTGCCCTCACCTGTGGTGGTTGCCATAATCCCTGTGCTGAACCTGGCTCTGTGGACCACAAAGGCACTCCTAGTGCCTTCACCATCTCTCCTCAGCAGCAGATGTATTCCTAGCTCCGGTAATGTTGGTATGGAGCCCCTCAAACTCTGTGAGAGTCTGTGTAGGTTGCTCTTTGTTGGTTCCTGTTTTGAGGTTGTCTAAGTGTCCCGTCAGCCTTTCCCTGCTGCGTACACACCCACACCGCAGTTGTTCATGCAGGATAAAAGCTGAAGGTGGATGCTTGGAGCACTGCAGAAGTGGGAAAAGCTTGTCTGCAGGAGTGTGATCTCCTTACATACACCATAGGACAAGTCCGACATTGAAGAGAGTTTGGAGCTGGCAGGAGAACAGGAGCAAGGAATTTGGCTTGTCATTATTACTCAGTGAAACCACGGGATTCTTCTGCCACTTTTCTCTCTTTGCAAAGCTTCCACGTGGACTGCAAGGGGGCTTGAAGGAGTATGAAACAGACCGTAGGTGGGTAAAGATGAGGATCTACTTCATGCAAAGGGTGGCATGGTAAGGGAGTTACTGGGACAATCATATATTCAGTCTTTGAGGAAATAATAGCATAAATAGGGAAACAGGTACAGATTGTTTGCCTTGCCAAGACCAGTAAAGACAAGGGTACTCACGGCCTGGAGCTGGCTCTCTGCTTACACCTCTACTCTGGGGTCTGTAAATCCACGCTTGCCTTCGTTAACCAGAGTGGGTCTCTCAGTTCTTGTGTGCCAGACCAACACCTAGAAGGAATCAAAGAGAGTTCAGGGGCTCTGGATGCCATGGAAACGCCGAGAGCAGCGCATCCATCGGGTGGGATCCTGAGCAACCCGAGGCTCGCAGCTGTTTGAAGCTGTGATTCAAAGGAGTTGAACCTGGGAGAGACTTCACAGGCACATGCAACAGTGGCAAGGAGAGGGGGATCATTCTGGACCAAAACCCCAGACTCAACCCTCTGCCAGTCCTCCTGGATTTTGGAGAAGCAATCTGGGCACGAATGGTATGGCTGAGGCTCTTTATTAACACAGAGAGCACAGCACTGGCTGTTCCTCAGCGCTCTCTGAGCTTCTCATCTGTGAAAAATTTGGCAGGCTCTGCCTGTCTGTCCCTGCACCGTTTGGCGCTGACGTGCGCCAGCACAGGGCAGGCACACACGAAGGTGGAGGAGCATGGCAGGAGGCTGCAAAAGCAGCCAGGAGCCAGCGAGGAGAACGCATTTTCAAGGTCTCTTGTCCTGCTCACCTTGGTGCAGTTGGCTGCTTTGGGCTCCAGACCATCCATAGTCACTAGATCCTTCAGCAGACTGGTTTCCTGGTAGCCTCCTTTAACTCCCTCCAGCTTGAAACTGGCCTGAGGCTTCTCCAAGATCAGCTTGATGCTGATAGCAAATCCAGCCATGTCAATAGCAAAGGGCCGGTTAGGGTCAAAGACGGTTTTCCAGCCCACCACCTTCCCTGCTGGGCTCACTTTTGGGGATTCGTATCGCAGCCCCCCAACGAAAGCCACTGGCCAGACCGACACCCTCCTCGTGTAGCGCATCTGTGTGCCAGAAAGAAACGGTGCTGTGAGAACTCAACCCCGCAACGCTTGTCCCACCCCGTTAGTGGTGGGAAACCATCCTCTGCTTTCACTGGCACCTGCCCTCCTTCCCCCTTGACGTCCCACACCATCACATAGCTCTAGGCAGCACAAGTCCTTGTTCACCTCTGCTACTGCTTGGAGAGCTACAGCTTGCAAAGCCACGAGGCTCTCCTAGCACGTTCTCTGAACACCAAACTCACTGCTCTTCTGTGCCCAGCCCCTTGGAAGAAGGAAAACCTTTCATTTTCTGATCTCATCTGAACCTTTACCAATTTTTTGTAAAGTTTTATCATTTTTGTAAATGTCAAATGCAACCTCTACCAGGCCTCCAGCTCTGTATTATCAACTTCGCTCGCTCCAACTTCACCCCCATGCCTGTAATCTCCCTCCCTGACTGATGCATCTTTGTCTTCATTTACTGCAAATTCCACCCCCTCCTTGTTCTTCCATTCATGGCTACTGCTTAAAAACGTGGGGTTTTACTGAAATTGTCAGAAAGGACCTGGAAAGAAATAAGAAAGGATGAGCTCAACGGAGACCAAAAAAACTCTGAAAACTGGAAATGTGTTCTGATGCGTAACTCTGTATTTCAAGTGGCGTAGTACAGTTTGGCTTAAATTAGTGACAGGGGAGTTTATACTGAATAATCATTTTTGCAAGTTTGCAATACACTTGGCATCGCACAAAAGCCAGGCTTCCAGCAGAAGTCTGGGCAAGCTCCTGTGATCCCAGGGGCACAGCCCTGTTGTGGTGGCTGGAACTCAGAGTACAGAAGGGCAGCCAAGGAGAAAAGGTGGATTAGGAAAGTCGATTTTTCTAACATCCCCTACCCATCACACTCCTACAACAGCGCAGATCTGTGCTTTGCCAGAAGTTTGTCTTCGGCGCTTACTTAAATCAGGTCAGCTGTCCCTGAGGAGAGGTATAGATTCTTGAGTACGTCTCCTCTGGTCCCTGGCAGAAGGGGCTCTAGCTGGTGCAATGTTGTGTGAGTGGCTACTCACATCCGCAGCCTACACCGTGGCAGATGTGCTCTTTTCTCTTTCAACCCTTTAGAGCATGGAAACCTATTGCATAGCTATAGGTTTCCATCTGCCCTAGACACAGCTCCCACGGGGTGGGAGAGGAGGGCTCTTGTCTCCCAGTTGATGCTGAAAGTCCACACGGTAGCCCTATCTTAGAGGTCTTTGCAAGTACACCTGGCCTTACGAGGCTTTGCAGTTGTATCCTGCTTTTCTGTCCCACATAATTTGACAGCTCTTACCTCTTCAAAGAGCTCCAGGCTGTAGGTGTTATCATCATCGGCAAAATACACTACCCCTTCTGGTGGCGGGATGTTGCTGAAGCTGTCCCTCAACCAGTGCAGCCCCAGGTTCCTCTGCAGCGTCCCCCGTGGCGTGTGGGATGGGATCCAGGACAGCCCCAGCTTCAGGCTCTTGGGTGTCTCCACGTTGAGGTGGGTGAAGTTGAGCCCTGCCTTCTCCAGCAGGTTGGATACCAGGTTGGTCCTCCGGGGCGAGTCCTCCACCACCACCCAGTGCAGGTTCTGTACGTGTAGGAAGGTGTTGGCCAGACGGGTCAGCTCAGCTTTTTGCACTGGCCGCGTGTAGGTAGGAGTGATAACGAAGATGGTCGGCAGGGTGTCTGACCATGGAGGAGGCCTGGAGTACACATAATTCTGGATGACTTTAGGTGTTGCCCCTATGCTTTGCTGCTGCCGAATACATGATGGGAGGCCTTCTTCTCTCAGTGCAGATGTACCATTGAGGAGAGCTTTAGAGGTCACGTTCTCATCTGTCTCTTCTGGGAAAAAAGGATGGAAGGAAGAAGAAGAAGAAGAAGAAGAGGAAGAAGAAGAGGAAGAAGAAGAGGAAGAGGAAAGATGTTAGAGAGCTAATCACTGCCTGACTGCCTCATCTCCAGGAGGAGAGGGACACATCTGTCTGGACTCAGTGCTCAGCACATCAGCATCCTCTCCCCAAAGCCAGCATGGGTGCATGTTTTAACACGCTTTTAAGAATGGTTTGTGTGCTTGCTGTAGGCAAACCCAGAGGGGGCCTTCAGGCAAGTTTGTCTTTGGTTAACCCATCCCATAAGAGAGCATCTCCTACTTTGGGTTCACACCAGCAATCATCGCAACCACCAGCACACTGACAGCAGAACTCTTGCACTTACTTCTCAGCAGGCTGAGGTAGCGGGTGGTTGGGTACTGGTGCCACAAGGTTAGGAGAAGAGCCCATGGCAAGGCGATCAGGAGCGTGGTAAGAAGGTTACGTCTCCTCAGCATGCTGCAGAGAGCTTCCAATGCCCAGGCATCTCTCTACCTTCCAGAGCAGAGAAAAGAGTAAAGCCTCCGAAATATCAGTCACCACAAACACTAGGACAGTAAGTCTAGAGGCCAAACTAATAGACCGAGTTTGGCATGATAAACACTGGGCCCTGATCCAGCAACGCGTTAGTCTAAGTTTACAAGGAACCCCATCAATGTCGCAGGCCTGAACCATTAACCAGCTGCCCTGGCCAGTTCCTGTGCTATTGAATAGAAGCTTTTACCTATATATGTTGCTATAAAGAACCTCCTGCTGCCCCATGATGAACCCACTGTCCTTGACTCAGAATTGTTCACATTGTTGATTCTGAAGCCACAGAGGTCTCTTGTCCCTTCTCCGGGACTGGTATTCATTCCTGAGCTTGTAGCGAACACTTAATTTGCTTCTTTTGTCCGATTTTTAAAAAAATGTGTGCAAGATTTGTGTTCCTGCATATGCCAGTGGACAAAACAGAAAATGTCAGGGATCCTCAAGATCGCCAGCGTCTCTTTCACTCCTCCGGTTCTAATTCATCCTCCTTACGCAGATGCATTGAGGCCATCAGTGACACATGCTATCTCATACTAAGTTTTCCACGAAATCCCTGCCTCAGTCATTCCAGTGACTTTCAGCAGTGATACCTGCTGAAAGTTTAATTATTCCACATCCCTTTCTGCTTCCAGCTTGCAGTGTTTGGCCACTGCAGCATTTAGTTTAAATCACAGACTTCTGAATACTTTAGTTTCTTTCTTAGCATTTCTGTAATGTACATGACCATGAGATCTGAGGAATTGCAACATTTGGTTTCAAAACTCCTTCTGTAAGTTGAGCAGAACTAAAAGGCAATAAAGAGAAATAAAGGACAAAAAGTATCAGGAATAATCAACAACAGAGGGTGGCTTAGTCACAGATGGTCCAAGCTACACTGGTCCTGTACTTCATTTCTCACAATTGTTGAGCACCTCCAGCTCCCACTCGTTAATATGATTAATGAGCAGCCTGTCTGGAAACCAGATCCTTGGCTTCTCAAGGTAGCCATGCCTTCAACAAAGTATCCAACGTCAATGATCAGTTTGGAAAACACAGACTGAAGTACCTGGACGTCTCTTGCAGACCACTTGTTCAGGGACGTAACTCAGCCCTGTCTACAGTCACGGTGTGATGAAGTCCCATTCCTGGCTCACCTGTTTGAAAGACCCTTAACAACCCGTGTGCAGCAAGTCGTATAAGCATGAGATCCCAGAGATGACTCCTGGATGTTCAACACCAAATGGCCTTGCCTAGTGCACATGCTGCCTTCTGTATGGCTCTGGCACACGGTCAGAAACATTTTCCTCCAACTTCTAGCTTCTGCTTTGGTCTCTCTCTGGGTACGACATCTCCTGATACTGTTATGACACACCAGCAACAAAAGCAGTGCTCCAGAAAGGGGGATCCACTTCTGCTGCTGCACAACAGCATCCCACAGAAACACTGACGAGTACAGAGCAAGGTGACTTGTTACCATCTGAGGACTTTCTGCTGTTGCTCTAAGCAGGTCATCTGACGTTTGATAGGATTTTATTCCTTTCTCCCTCCTGGTAACATCTGTAATCTGTTTCCTCTGGGATAACCTTTCTGATGCCAAATACTTCTCCAGGTGGACTTCCTCGCCACCACGGGGATGCTCACTAGGAGGCTAAGGAGAGCACAAAACTTTCATGAGCCTCCTGCGGAGACATTTCTGTAGTAGGGAAACTACAGTCACATACCCCAGGAACCGGAGCTGCAGAGTGGCACAGCCCCACTGGGCCCTCTTGCTCTCCTAGGCTGAAGGCAGTTCGAGGGAAGAGGGTGAAGGCATTACACTAATACAAAGGACGGAGAGCAGGTTCGAATTGGTTGGCTTTAAATTCCTGCTCTGCCAGGGATTTCCTAGGTGTCCCGAAGGCTGGTCATCTAAAACCAAGGTCCTCAAAGGGATGTAGGCACATTGAGTGCAAAGGAAACTCATTTCCCAGGATCTGGGCCCAGCAGCTCCTCATCTGTCCAAAGGGGAAAAAGGATGACCCTGCTTCAGCCTTAGAGAATCGTGCAAGAGGAAACACGACAACTGGTTCGAAAGGGCTCAGCTTTGCAGTGACAGCAACCACATGGTTCTTCTGGAAAGTATCAGGTGATGCTGTTCTAAATTCATCCTCTGGGACCTTCTTGGAACCTGTCTTTAAGTTTTTTCCCTGACATTTCACCTTGGTCTCCTGACAAAACAAGGATTATGCCATTGCAGGGCTCATCAGTGCCCTGCCGCCAATAACTATCAAACCCACTTCAGCCAAATCTGACAGAGGACTAGCATGTCTCAGCAAGTCTTCTGGCAGGCAAGCAGATCCTCGTAAGCCCTATTAAGGAGATTGCTGCAACATGAGCTCATTCCCTGTTAGACACCAACAGTACCATGCTGGACCAATCCCTCTAGGGAACCTCTCTCTGCTGATCCCCAAACCAACCATTCATGGTAATAATCTCTAGTGCTTCTTACCGCCTCACTCAGGGGACACCATGATGGCCATTCCTCTCCTTTCGAGCTAGGGACCAAGAAGTGGGCCAAGGAACCTGGGTGGCCAGGGGCACCCAGGAGTGTTTTGGTGATGCTGGCAGGAGCCTTGCGATTTGCCTTGCAAATCGTTGCTTTCTGATGGTCTCTCCAAGGTCTCTCCAAGCTTTAGTGCCAGGGTCTCTCCAAGCTTTAGTGCCGAAGGCGTAGGTGTTTGGTAAGCTGTGGATCTAGGCTGGACACAGGGCAGGATGGTGTTGCCCACAGCAAGGGCTGCTTTCCCTCCAGGAAATCCTTTCTCTTCTCAGAGTAGCAGCACAGAGCAAAGCTTCCCATCACTCAGGGCCATGAGAACAGATGAAGCCACCAAAGAAATCCAAGGAGGGCTCTGCATGGCCTCATAACAGCTGCAAACACCTAAGTCCACCTGGGCCCTGGCTCAGGGTCATTGAAGCTCCTTGCTGCCCCTGAGATGCTTGGAATTACAAATATCCCTGCACTAGAGTCAGGCAGCCAGTGGTGTTTCCCTTTAATAAAAGCCCTTAATTACACAGGAACAGTTTCTAGGCAGTGGGCCCGCCACTGCTGCAAACTCAGGTCGCTTCTGGAGGAAAGTGAGGAGGAGGTGGTGGTGGTGGCAGCTGTGTTACCAAGAGAGCACAGAGGAGAGCGGATCAGTTAGAAGAGCTTTAGCAAATTCCCTTTCTAGTCCTTTCTCCTCCTCCTCTTCCTCCCAGCCAGCCCTGTTCACGCTTCCCGGACGCTGCAAGCAAGCGGAGATGCTGTCTGTGTGTGCAGCTCCCCTGGTGCTCCTTGCTCATTTATTTCTACGCCCGCCTTCTCTCTATTGCTTTTCCACAGCATGCGATGCTGAAGAAGTTAAACCCCGCATAAAGCACCAGGTCACTTGTCACCCTCACAGAGGAGTCTGGCTTCAACGCCATTTTCGGAAAATCTGTCTTGGAGTGCTTTACTTTCTCTTTAAAACCTTACCTCCTCTCCCCCTGCCACCCCCTGCATCCATCATGCTTCTGCTCTTCTCTGTTCCTTTACATCTTTCACCTGCCTTTTCTCAGTCTTTAGGAGCCTCTCTTCTTCCCTGTTGCCAGGACTAGAGGAATCCCCCAGCCTACTAAGAATTTCAGCCTTCCTCTTCTCTCTTTCCCCACACAAAGCCCTCTGCATTTCCTTAACGTCAACCCCGCCTGGAATATTTCCCGCAAAGTGGTCCATTAAAGCATCAGCCCATCCTCCTGAAAAACACAGCATCAAAACCCAGTCACACGCCAAAGCCTCTGGGTAGCCTGCTGATGGCCCCAGTGGGGCTTACGGAGGTTTACTGCACAGATTTTTACCTACTTTTTATAATTAAAAGCAAAGTCTCCTAAGTGGCTCAGATTAATTGCATGCCTGGCTGGCAGGCAGTACTGTGTGTATTCTTGGTGCAACCAGCTACCTTCCTTCTGCCTTTAAACTCAGCCAGAGTAGATTCTATTCAATGAGATGCAAGATCAGAAGAGAATTTTGTGATCATCCAAACCCAGCTCCAGCGATCATCCCGTAATTCCTGGGTTTAAGCTGTAGAGGGCAGGGACCGTCTCCTAATGTGCTTGTACAGTCCCGCGCTGATCCCGACGGGAGCCTTTGGATGCGATTGCAATACAAATATTATGGATTGCACTCTCTTGCTGGCTCTTCTCCTCCCTTGCTATTTCCCCTGTCCTGCCTATTCCCCCTTCTCTTCCTTTCCCCCCCACCCCGTGTCTCCTGCAGCTCTTGTTTGCGTTACACACCCTTAACAACGTTAGCTGGATGTTCGATGGATGCCTTCAATATGCTGCCTATGGCCTTCTTCAGCTGTTTTCCAATTACACATCCCTCTTCGTAATTTCATCCATCAATCTTCTGTTCTCCATTAAAAAATAAACAAACACACACAGAGCACAAAGCTGGGTATGATGGGGACAAAATGTTTCTTGTACTACTCTCGCTCCGCGCTGCTTTGTCAGATGTCTCAATTCCCAGGACACAACGTCATCCAGCCTCTGTTTAAGCTCATGTGCTGATGCAGGGGCGTTAATCTGAATGGATTTGGGAGAAGAGAATGAGAGAAGGACACGGCGGGAAGAGCCCAGCCCCAGCTTGGATGCCCCAGACTGATGCTGAAGAGAAGCGAGATCTGGCTGAGGCTCAGAGCATCACGTGTGACCGATCCCTTCATCTGCAGTTGACTAATTCCCAACACAGGGTACAATTTGCCACACGCAGGGCAGCTCAGATGTTGGGAAAGGGATAAGGATTCCCAGGCTGGAGAACAACCCAGGCAGCCCCACAGATCAGATACAACTTTAAGAAGTCACGTATGTGACTTTCTTCCTGAATTGGGGGGTAGGCTGAAAGGACATGTGTGGGTGAATGGTGGAGACAGGTGAGAGCTGGGGAGAA